TGAGGTGCGGCCTCGCGGCCGCTGATGAAGGCCTCCTGGCTCCGTGACTCACGTCTTTGCACCCGCTACGGTGCGCCCAGTGTCCGGCGCGGCCCGTCGGCCCTGCAGTCGCGCTCGCGTCCGCCAGCGGCGCTGCGAACAAAGGAGTCTTCGAGTTTTCTGCTCAAGGGTCTCTGGCGTTCTGCGCCTTCCCCCGCGCGAGCGCCTCCGGATGGCATCCGCGGGCTTCCGACGGCGTCGGGGAGGCTTCCCCCGACAGGCTCCCATGGGGGCCCGAGGCGCCCCCGAGGGGGCCCAGGATCTCCTTGCCTGGCCCCCACGCCGGCCCACAGGCGGCTCAGTCATGGGCCGAGGCCACAGTAGGGTCCCAAGAGCTCCCCCAACGGCCCCCGCGCTTCCCAAATGGCTATCTCCGAGCACCGAGTGGCGCCTCCTCCTCCTCCTCCCCCTCCTCCTCCTGGCCCCCCCCTCCTCCCCTCCTCCTCCTCCTCCTCCTCCTCCTCCTCCTCCTCCTCCTCCTCCTCCTCCTCCTCCATCCTCCTCCTCCTCCTCCTCCTCCTCCTCCTCCTCCTCCTCCTCGAGCACCGAGTGGCGCCCAGGGAACCCTAAAGAGGGCCCGCGAGGGCCCCAAGAGAGAGCCCAAGTAAGTGGGCGTCACGCGTGCCCCCAAGGGGCCCAAAAGCTGGCCCCGAGGGCGCCCCACGGCCTCGGTCTGTGCGAAGTACTTTTTTTTTTGCCCCGAGGAAATGAAAGCCGCAAGTTGGACAGGAAAGAAAAGGCGCTAAATAGCGCACTATCTGCTTAGCTCCGAAGCCGGTCGCCCCTGCAGTATGTACAAGAGTCCCCGACTCCTCGCTGGACCAACGCGATTATTAGTGCGGAGTCGACGAGTCTGCGGGGCCTCCGGCCGCCACAGAGCCTGCTGCGTGAGCTGCTATGCCCGGAGCTGGCTCTTCGCCCGCAGGCCCGCGCCAGTCCGATACCAGCGCCGGGGCCAGGAGTGGCATTTCATTCCGGTGGGCGGGCCGCGCCTCAGCTGGGCCCCGGGACGGCCCGCGAGGGACCAGGATGCCCTGTCCATGGCGGCCCCAGAGGGACCGAGAGACCCCCCAAGGTGCGCCCCAGACGTCTCCAGCACGGGCCAAAACAGGGCTCTGCGAGGCGGCCCACGCTTGCTTCCAGGCGGCCCTGGAGGCCCCCGGGTCGGCCCAAGAGGGTTCCGGGAGCCTTCTCAGGATGGCCCGAGGAGGCCCGAATCACAGATTCTTCCAGGGCTTTCGAAGGACTTCAGCTTTTTCTCGCGTCTTCGCGCCTTCGTCGGTCCAGCACTGTCACAGAGGCCTCCGAGATGGCCCCCAGATAGCGCCAACGGCTCCCAAGAGGACCCGAAAACGGCCCAAGAGGGCCCCCCAGCACGGGCCAAGAGGCCCCCCGTGACGGCTCCAAGACGTGGCCCTGCCGCGTCGCGGACGGCCTCCGAGACGGCCCGCCTCGAACATGGCCCCAGAGGAGCCGGGAGACCGCCAAGTTCGCCCCAGGTGCCTCCAACACTGCCCAAGCTGGCACAGAGACGGCCCAATATGGCCTCAAGACGGCCCCAGAGGTCTCTGAATCGGCTCAAGAGGGCTCCAAGAGCCTTTCCAGGAGGGCTCGAGGAGGCACAAGTCATGAATTTTCGCGTGGTTGCTGAATCATTTCAGCTTTCTTGCGTTCTCGCGCTTCTGATGGCCCAAGCCAGCCCCAGTGGCTTCCAAGATGGCCCACAGTAACCCTAGAGGGCCGCAAGGCGACCCCAAGAGGGCCCCAACACGGGCCAGCAGGTTCCTGTGATGTCTCCAAGTGGCTGGTGCCGCCGATAAAGATCCGCAAGGCTCCCCTGCCGAACCGCTTGCGAATGTTTCACATTAGTCAGCTACAATGCTGGGATCAGTGCGTGCAATAACTGCGAGCAGTGGGAGCAGGCTTTGGCGCTGTTCAGCGAGATGTTGGAGGCAAAATTGGAGCTCGACGTCATCAGCTACAACGCTGGGCTCGACGCGTGCGAAACAGGGGGACAGTGGCAGCGGGCTCTGTCGCTACTCAGTGAGATGTGGGATGTGAAGTTGGAGCTCGAAGCCAGCAGCTACAGTGCCGGGGTCGGCGCGTGCAAGAGAGGCAAGCAATGGCAGCGGGCTCTGTCTCTATTCAGGGAAATGTGTGCAGTGAAATTGGAGCCGGACGACATCAGCTATAACGCTGGGATGAGCGCGTGCAATAATGGCAGGCAGTGGACGCTGGCCCTCATGCTGCTGAGTGAGATGAGGGAGGCAAAGTTGGATCCTACTGTCAAGAGTTACAACATTGGGATAAGCGCGTATCAGAAAGGCAGGAAGTGGCAGTGTGCCCTGTCGCTACTAAGCGAGGTATCGGAGGCGAAGTTGGAGCCCGACGCCATCAGCTACAATGCTGCGATCAGCGCGCTCGAGAAAGGCGGACAATGGCAGCGTGCCTTGGCGCTGCTCAGCGAGATGCGGCAGACCAAGATGGAGCCAAGCATCATCAGCTACAATGCTGCGATCAGTGCGTGCAGGCAGCAATGGCATCAGGCTCTGTCGCTGCTCGGCGATGTGTGGGATGCGAGGCTGGAGCCCCAAGTTACCTTTTCTACACTGCAGGGCCTTGTGGGTGCGGCACGGGTTTGTGCAACGGGTGGAGCTCTGGAGCCTCCCAGAGGCCCCGGGAGCGCCACGACGCCCAGGGCACCCCACGGGGCAGTCTCAGGGCCGCGGAGGGCCCCAGCGCGCCCCCAAGACGTTCCAAGACGTATCAAGACGTCCTCGGGGCCTTCGGAGGGCCCCACGTGGCCCGACGAAGCCCCCGAGGCACCCCGAGATGACGCCGAGGTGACCCCTGACACGCTCTCGATGTTCCTGCCAAGGACCCCACACACGCGAAAATAGTTCCAGTCGTTTGGGCTTTTCGTTAGTCTCCCGACCGTCCATTTTCGGGCTCCGACGGCTCCGCAAAGAGCCCGATACACCTCCAAGGCAGCCCCCCTGAGGACCAGAAGAGCACCCAGGAGGGCCCAAGACGTCCCGAGTTCAGCCCCGCACGGCCTGGATTGGACTCCAGGATGGCCGTCTGACGGCTCCCAGAGGGCCCCAGGACGGTCCCAGAGCGTTCATGGATGTCCCACGACAGCCTCATAGAGCTCCCAGACTGACCGCTGGAGCCCCAGTACGGCTCCCAGTGCAGCAGCAAGCAGCAGCAGCAGCAGCAGCAGGAATTGGCAGCATCAGCAGCCAGCAGGAGGAATCAGCAGCTGCACTCAGCATCAGCAAGCAGCGCTAGCAGGCAGCCGCCTGCAGCACTCCACAGAGCAGCACAAGCAGCAGCGGGTAACCAGTAACAACCAGAGCCCTAACATAACAAGTCTGCACACAAAGCCTCAGCAAGCAGCAGCCAGCACGAGTCAGCAGGAGGCGGCAGCAAAAGCGAAACACAGCAAAGAGCAGCAAGTGTCATAGTGCAGCTCGAAGCAGCAGCAAGCCGCAATAAGCGGCAGTAGGAAACAGAGATCGGGTGAGCAGACAATGAAGCAAGGAAGCCACACGTCAGGCAAGTATGCCAGCATACAGGCAGTGAAGCAGGCAGGGAAGCTGTCGGACTAGCAGGTTAGCAGCTACGCACGCAGGACAGCACGCAAACAGGTAGCAAGAAATCATGAGCATCAAGCGTAGTCAGACTGCGGCAGAAGACAGCACAGGCAACGCTGCGAAATTCGAGCCCGACGTCATCTCGAAAGCCTTTCGTCAGCATTTGCGCCATCACATGCCAGATTGAGCTGATTTGGTGGACCGTAGAGCGTGGATTCGATCTAGTCAGCTACAACGCTGGGATCAGCGCGTGCGAAACGGGCAAGCAGTGGAAGCGGGCTCTCACGCTGCTCAGCGAGATGTGGGATGTGAAGCTAGAGCCCGACGCCATAACTTACTGCGCTGGGATGAGCGCATGCGAGAAGGGGGGGCAGTGGCAGCAGGCTTTGTCTCTGCTCGGCGAGATGCGGGAGTCGAAGCTAAAGCTCGACGTCATCAGCTACAGTGCTGGGATCAGCGCGTGCGAGAAAGGCGGGCAGTGGCAGCGGGCCCTGGCGCTGCTTCGCGAGATGCGGGAGGCGACAGTGGAGCCCAACGCGATGTCCTCACTGCACTGCAGGCACCCGCGCGTGCAGGGCGGGCCCTGCACTAGGTCAAATGATTCTCGGGCCCCCCCCGGAGAGCCGACGAGGCGACCTCTCCCCGGAGCAGTCCCGAGGGCCCCGCGAGGCCTCGGGGCGCTTCCCAGACTCCGTCGGAGGGAGGCCGTCGAGGGCCTCCCGCGCCCCGAGGAGGCTCCCCGACGCCCCAAGCTGACATCCAGGGAGGGTGGCCCCTGGAGGCCCCACGGCGGCTTCGCGGAGGGCACCCGACGGGCAAACATGGGAATTCCTTCTTGAGGTTTTCGCATCTTTTCAGCACTCTCCACGTTTCGGCTCCAGGAGGCTCAAGAAAGGGTCCCAGACGCCTGGGCTGAGGAGGCCTACAAGAGCCCCCAGGAGAGCCCAAGCTGCCCCCAAGATAGCCCAAGGTGGACATGGCCAGCCTCCAAGAGGGCCCCGAGGCGGCCCCAAGACGGCCCCAAACCGCCCCAGCATGGCCCCAGGGCTCCCCCCGAACGCCCCTTCACCTCCTCCCCACGACAGCATCCAGGAGTCTGCAGGGACGCCCAGATGGCCCCAGGAGGCGCAGGAGGGCCCCTAGAAGACCTCAGGGCCCCTCGAAGGCTCAAAGATGGCCCCCAGGGGGCTCACGAACCCTCAAAGAAAGTCCCGAGTTGGCCCCAAGAGAGCCCAGGTGTTCGGCCGTACACGCGCCGAGTCCATTGGGGGATTCGTGGGCTGGCCGCTTCGCTAGCCTCTCACCCCTGCCTCCTCGACCGTCGCTACTCCCTTCTCGCTCCTCGCTTCTCCCTGCTCCCTCCTCGGTCTGAACTCCTCGCTCCTCTCCTCGAGCCCCTCACGAGCAGCAGCAGGTTGTTTCAGCTAGAAGGGAGTAGCGAGAAGCAGCACCCTGCAGCAAGAAGCAGCAGCATCAAACAGCAGCAGCACGCAACAGCGGCAGCAAGCAGCAGCACGAAGGTATCAGGCATGCAGCGCCAGCAAGATCCAGGCAGCAACACGCGGCAGCGCCAAGCTGCATCAAGCAGCAGCATGCCGAGGGGTCACCACCAGCCCGCAGCGGCGCGGAAGCGCACCGTGCACACCGAGACGCCCAGCTGCAACCAAGGCAGCCCCGAGGCGACAGCGAGCGGACTCGCAGACAAGGACGCAAGCAAGGCGACACGCCATCGATCCTGCGGGACAGACGGCGCCCAGACAGGCAGGCAGGCGTTCCTCACTGTTGCCTGCGATCCAGCTCTCGCGTATGCAGGCCCTCGCGCGTGCCAGGAAGGTCCTGCCCAGAGTGCGGCTTGAGCTCCCCCATCCACCGGCGGCCTTGGAGGCTCCCTGAGAGCCCCACGAGCTCGAAGAGGGCGCCAAGATGCCACCGAGGTGGCCCCAGCAGGCCCAAAGTAGCCGTCCACGTGACCAGAAAGGGCCGAGGTGGGATCCAGGAGCGGCCCGAAATGGCCCCAAGATTCCCCCAAGAGTGCCCAACAGACTCCCAAGACGCCTGGGGAGGCCTCCAAGAGGACTCCCATGAGGGTCCCATTGAGGGCCAAATCATGGAAGCTTCTTGGAGCAGATCTGGCGCTCAAAAGCCCGATGAGATGGGCCCCAGATGGGCTCAGGTGGCCCGGAGGCCCCAATATGAAGCAAATGCCTCTTCGTACGGCCCGAGGACAACCCACGAGAGCCCCAACACGGCCCTGGAGGGTCCAGGGTGGCCCTCAAGACGTTCCAAGTTGGCTCCAGGATGGCCCACGAGGCGTCCTCAGACGACCCTAGACGGCATCACGACGGCCCAAGAGGCCCCCTCGACGGCCCGAGAGGCATCCCAGACGCCCCCCCCGAGGCTCTCATAGGCTTCAAGAGGCCCCTTGTATACGCCCCAGGGGCGCCTCCAGAAAGCTCCCAAGAGGCCTGCCGCCAGAGGCCTCCCGCCACAGGCATCCGAGGCTCCGACGAGACTCTGAAGAGAGCTGCTTCCCAGGCGCCCCAGGGGCCCCCCGGGCACGCAACACCAATCATCGACAAGCAGCAGCACGCAGCACCGCCAGGCCGCATCGCGCAGCAGCAGGCCATGGCCAGGATCAGGCCGTGGCGACGATACACAACATCATGTATGCAGAAACTTGCGGCAACCACTACCAGTCAACAGCAAACGACATAGTGCGGACGGACGAGCAATAGAGCGAGCCACCAGAGAGCGGGCGATGGAGCCAGAAGGTACGCATCAGCTCGCCAGTTCAGCCACCACGACCGCAGGACAGCGGGAGGGCAGGCCACCAGGCAAGCGATCCGCACCAGCCCGCGGAGCCCCCCTGCGGCTCCCCAGGGCTCCCGGGCGCTCGTCCGGGCCCGTCACTCCTCGCTCCCGTCTCACCGCTCCTTGCTCTCGTCGCTGCTCGTTCCTCCCTCCTGGCCCCTCGCTCCTCACTCCTTGCTACTCGTTCCTTCCTCCCTCCTCGCATCTCCCTCTTGCAAGCCCCACGCGGCCCCACGAGGGCATCAAGGGAGCCAATGGAGCCACGCGACGGCTTCTAACTCCCTCCTCACTCCTGCCTCCTCGCTCCTCCCTGCTCACTCCTTGCTCGTTTCTCCCTTCTTGCTGCTCGGGCCTCTGGACCGACCTCAACACGAACGACTTTCGGCAGCGTCTCCGCTATCACATCAAATGCACACGCCATTTCGGACAGACTTCGCGGACGGGAGTCCACATATCAGTCCTAGTCAGTTATAGCGCTGGAATGAAAGCGTGCGATAATGGCAAGCAGTGGCAGCGGGCTCTGGCGCTGCTCAGCGATATGAGGGAGGCGAAGCTGAAGCCAGACGTTGTCAGCTACAATGCTGTCTCCATCACTTGCAGGAACAGCGGGCAGTGGGGCCAGGCTTTGGCATTGTTCAGCGGGATGTTGGAGGCAACATTGGAACTCGACATCTTCAGCTACAACATCGGAATGAGTGCATGCGATAATGGTGAGCAGTGGCGTCTGGCTCTGGCGCTGCTGGACGTCATGAGGGAGGCGAAGATGAAACCCGACGCCATTAGCTACAGCAGTGGGATCAGAGCGTGCGAGAAAGGCGAGCAGTGGCAGCGAGCTCTTGCGCTGATCGGCGAGATGAGGGAGGCGAATATGAAACCCAGCACTGTCAGCTACAGCTCTGGGGTCAGCGTGTGCGAGAAATGCATGCATCGCCAGCTGGCTGTTGCGCTGTTCAGCGAGATGTCGGAAACAACATGGGGCTCCCGGCTGCAGCGCCATGACTACAGCGTGCGAGAGCAGCGGACAGTGGCAGCAGGCTTAAGCGCTTTGCCATAG